TTACAAGAAAGACAATTTTGTCCCTCATAGAAGATGGGACACATAAGTTAAACTCAGATACAATAGACATTTCACTTTCAATAAGATACACCAGAATGACCAAAATGCCCCTGACTCGAGCATTCTAACACTAATAAATGGCCCATGAATGCATAGCAGATAAAGCTAGGAGGAGTAATCTTGGCAACAGGAGCAAATATCTCCTCATAGTCAATGTCATACTCTTGGGTGTAGCCTGAGCAACAAGCCTAGCTTTGTACCAATCCAATGAGCCATCTGATTTCAACTTAACTGTGTAAACCCAACAACTTCCAATAATCGAAGCATTTGAGGGAGGAACTACCAAATCCCAAATGTCATTCTCTTGTAAGGCATGAATTTCTACATCCATGGCATCTTTCCAATGAGGATTGGTAATGGCATGCTTATATGAGTGGGGAATATCTGTGATAGATAACACAGTAGAGAAAGAGCTATGGTTTGAAGGTAATCCATAACAGTCAGGTGGTCTAGAAATACAAGAGTAACAGCAAAAAGATGTGAAAGGAAGAGAATCTAAACAAATATCACTTAAGGAGCATTAGTGGGGGGATAATCCAGACCGGGAGGAAGTGGGGTTGAAGGCGTAGGATCTGGGGCACATAATCTTTTGTGAGAAAAGACAAAAAAATTCCTTCACACCAACAAGAGGAGAAGCATCTTATGAGTCAAAATTCTGCAAGGCAAAAACAAATGGAGCAAATAACTTTGCAACAATAGCAAAAAAGAAGATATACACAAGGAAAACAACATTTCGAGAAACATGAATACGATGAGTAAAGGGATTATAACAAAGAAATCCTTTGTGATATGGACTATATCCCACAAAGGCACAAATAACAAACTGAGCAGACAACTTGGAACGTTCACGAGGGGGAAAATGAAGAAAGCAAAGACACCCAAAAACATGTAGGCTAGATAAGTCTAGTGAACGGTCAAATAGTTTCTGAAAATGGAGCATATTAGCAAGAACTAATTAGGGTATATAGTTAATTAAGAAAACAATAGTATTAACAGTCTCTACCCAAAATGAAGAAGGTGCATGAGATTCTTGAAGTAGGGTTCTCACAACACGTTTTGAGGTGTATCTGGATAGCTTCATTAAACTTGTATCCATGACTTCTCAAGTAAGGTTAAGAAGTCTCCATCAATGTATTCTCCCCCTGAATCTGAACAGAGAGTACATATATGAGACTGAAACCAGACTTGCATCATAGTATGAAAAAGCCAATATGTAGGATACACTTCAGATTTATGTCTCATAAAGTAAACCCATGTATACCTGGTGCAATCATCAATAAACAAGACAAAGTACTTGTATCGAAGTCGGGAAATAACAAATGAAGTCCAAACATCACTATGTATAATCTCAAATGGTGAGGTGGCATGCTCTGATGTGTGATAAAAGGGTAGAGTGCAGCTTTTACTTAAGCAACAAGAAACACATGAGGTATCAAAAGTAAAGAAGGAATTTTATTTTTAGTAGAACCAAAGTCAAACAAAGTTATCAATTTTTCAAAATGATGATGTCCCAAACACTTATGCCATAAATCCCAAACATTATTTCTTTGTCCAACAATAGATTCAAAAAAATGAACTAAGATATACTAAAAATGTAGGTGCTTTAGGATTCTCGAACTCCAATGCAAATAAACGGCCCAGCCAACGCCCCTTCCCCTTCACCTTCCTAGTATACCAATCCTGAATCAAACAACCATCATGAGAAAAAGTAAATATATATCCTTCATCAACAAGTTGATCAACATAAATCAAATTAGCAATAAGATTAGGTACGAGAAAGGTTTTGGTAAGAAGAAAGGAGGTAGTAGATGACAACTTAAGGGAAATGTCATTGCTACCAATGATATTCAATTTTTTACCATTGGCAGTGATGATACGTCTATGGTGGGATTTAGGAATGCTAATATAAGGTTCAAAATAAGCTCCTGTCATATGATTAGTTGCTTCGAAATCAATGATGCAAATATGAGACTGAGAAAACGGTAACCAGAAAACTCACTAGACAGGCTAATGGCAGAAAAAGTAGAGGAGATAGCAGAGGATACCAATTGTCGAATTTCATCCATAGATGCAAGAGATGCAAAAGATTCACCCTTAGTAAAAGAATCACCATTGGAAGAGGAAGCTTTAGGGGTTTGGCCCTCGTTCACTTGATATGCACGTGGTTGGTTCTTCTTCTGGGCACCTTTAGATGGTCAATCTGGGATGATGTGACCATGCTGCTTAAAATAGGTGCAAACATTCTTCTTACAGTGAGAAGCAATGTGTCCAAACCCCATTGCACTCATAACATTGTATTTTGGAGAAGTCCTTAGCACCAGATTTCTTGTTTCCATGAACAACAAAAATTGTATTAGCCCTAGAGTCAATTAATTTTCTATCCAAACTTGTAGCAATTAAAAGTCTAGTCTCCTCTCTCAACAATTCCCCCATCGCTGAATCCAAATCTAGAGCAGTCCATCTAATCTATGTTGGACCTAATTATCACATATTCAAGCCCAAGTCTCATAAGGAACCGATTCACTTTTCTTTTCTCAAAGTGTTGTTGGAGATACTTGACACATTCTACAAGATCTAGAAAATTTATATTGATAAGTTCATACTCTTCCCACAAATCAATAAAACCGGCATAATATTCCTAAATCTTCTTATCTCCCTAGCAGTAGGAAAAGATTTCAGATTCAATCTAATACTATCTAGACATGTTGGACTGATGGTACATTTTCCTCAAATATGCATACATCTCATAGTTGTACGCATCCTTCTCATGGGTACAGAAATATGAGAAACAATTGAGCCGAGTATCCAAGAGAATAATTTCCCATTATCCAACTTCCATTGTGCATATCCTTTAATATCAGTTTCATTTGGCTTAGTAATCTTCCCATCCAAATATCCCTCTAGGCCTTTCCCTTCAACAAAGAAGTTGAAATGAAACTTCCACATGTTGTAGCTAGTTCCATCAAACTTTACGAGAACGATATCAGTCTTCTCAAACATTTCAAAGCACACCTACAGTCCAAAATAGGTTAAAAGACTTCAAGAGAGGGTAACGATCCAAGAAATCGGTGATTAATCACCCAACTAAGATCAGTAGCAAATCAACAACAGGATGGGATCGAAACCCTATCAAAACTGATCCAAACTTCAAGGCTGAATGATGAACAGATAAAGAAGGCCTATGCGACACCAACTACAAAGTTCTAGGCTGATTGAACCAGCCAATTTTTAAAAAAAAAAAAAGAAAATCTGACCTGCTGGGTGTCTTTTCTTGGAAAAAGATATTGGCTTCGTCTGATCCAAAACAGCACTTAAAAAACTTCAACCAGGATTTGAGAGTGATCAAAATACTACTTAAACAGTCCACTAATCACCCCAAAACTCAAACAAATCAGAAACTGAAGGATATGGCCCGCTCTGATACCATGTCAATCTTCTAGGTTAAGAGAACACCAAGAGTTTCAAGGGTGTCAAACTGAAATTGATCGACCCCCACCCCCAAAGAGCATATATATCTTATTAGCTATAAGCATTTACAAAGAGGCCCTTGAAGGGCTAAAGATAAAAAAAAAAAAAAAGAATAATTACAAAGAGGCCCTTGGAGGGCTGAAAGATAAGAAAATAAATGTTATGGTACAACAGGGACCATAGAACTACAGTACATCAAGTATCTCTACAATTCTAAGGGAACGACGATGAAGGAGCAACCACTGGATTCTCATTTGGGGATGGATGTTCATGCCAACAAAGAGGGCAATGATGGTCCTGATTCTGGTACGAGTATGAAGGTGCAAAGTATGAGTTTAAGGTTAATGCTTTGGGCGGTGTGACTCTTCAGAAGTTAGTAGACAGAGTGACGATTGGAAAAAGTTTGGGTCTCTTTTTTTGGAGTGGTGAAGGGTTTGATAGGAGGGCCTTTGAGGAGTTTGAAAGGAGAAAAAGGGAAGAGAACTTAAAGAAAAAAGCTCTGTTGAAAGGAGGCAAAGCTTGGAACGAGGAAGTTTCAAATCAGGAGGATGAGTTCATGGATGAAGACTAAGCCTCTCTGCCAGACTTTTCAAGGTTTTCAGCTCGAGTCTGGTTTTGTTTGAGTCTTTGGTATGTAAGTCGTGTGCCTGTTTTTTCAGTGTTGTTAAGGGGTCTAGAAATTTGTTTGTTGGGTCATTTAGTTGTACTCTCCTTTTGGATGATATCTTATCATCTTATGTTGTATCTCTTTTTACTTTTAATAAAGTTCTCCTTTTACTCTTCCAAAAAAAATTCCTTTCTCTTTTGGGTTTTACTGGTAAGAGATTGAAACCAAGTGAGGGTTTAGAGAGAAGTAGGACAAAAATAAGAGAACCAAGGCTCAAATGCATCCCAGGTATTTCCTTGTTTCTTTTATGTTGCTTTTTCCTCTTCTTCTTTTTCCATTGGGTTCATCAATAGAGATGGGCTCTTTCTGGTTGCACATCCTTTTATCTCCTTTCTCTGAAATTGGTGGGTTCTCACTCCCTCTCTAGCTCCATAGTGTCAACAGCAGGGCTATTCTGTTGTTTTTATTTATTTATTTATTTTACTTTCTTGTTCTGTTCTTGTTGACCATGCATGGCTCATTATTTCATTGCAACAGAAGAAAATGAAAAAAAATCTATTCTGTATAATTTGAATTTTGCATAGCTATATTAGAAGCTAATAAAGAGTGGGACTGGTTGGTGCCAGACTGGCTGGTGCTGGTGGTTGCTGTCAGCTATCGCCTAAAGTAAGAGCTTGAGAGGTGGTGCCTGGCGGAGCCGCAGAGAGAAGAAGTGAGAGAGAGAGAGAAGAGAGATACAGAGATCAGAGATGGCATTGGTGCTTGCTTGCCGATGAGGCGGCGGCCAGCGTTGCTGCTTGGTGCTGGTGGTTGGCGCGGGCCACACGGCCGTCTGGGGAATACGAAGAGTCGAAGAAGACTAGAAGAGTAAGACTGTAAGAGAGACTGAGAACTTCAAAGAGAACTGAGAGAGACGAAAGAGAAAAGACTGAGATAGTGAGAGAAGGTTTAGGTTTCTAATTCGAAGAGATAAAAGAGAATAAAGGCTTGAAAATTTTCGATTTTCGAGACTGAGAGATGGGCAGTCTCCAGTCTGGCACTCTGGCAAAGGCAGACTGCCGACTAAACTTTCAATTGAAACTTTATTCAATTTTCAAAAAGAAATAAAAAAATATAATATATAATATATAATACATATATGTAATATTATATAAATATACATTACTGTATATATATATATATATATATATATCGGTCGGTTCGGTAAACTGCCGGTTTTTTAAATGGTTAACCAAAACCGAACCGAATGTGCAGGGGTAAGGCTGTGTACATCGTGCTCACCCCTAATGTGCAGGGGTGAGCAGGGGTAAGGCTGCTGGTTTTTTAAATCGGTCGGTTTTTTCAGTCGGTTCGGTTTTTCGGTTTTTTTGCTCACCCCTAACATGCAGGGGTAAGGCTGTGTACATCTGTGATCTGTCCCTCCCCAGACCCCAAATTGGTGGGARCATGCACTGGGCTGCTCATCATATTAGAAGTTAATAATAAGTCATCAATTATATTGAACTATGTGTTTAGAGTCTTTAGACTATAGAAAGTGATGGTTTAAAATGCATGTTCAAGTACACTTTGATATGGGAATTCATTATTATTGGTGAAATTCATAACTACTACATTTTAGTATTGTCCTGGTTGCTTTTTTTTTATCAGCAACACAAAAAAATTCATTAATTAGTATTGTCCTGGTTGCTATTTCAAGTAYAAAAACAACCTAGAAATCCAAAAGGACTTTGTCCAAATGAAATGCCTAGGCACCTGGCATCGTAGGTGACAAGGTGTCCCTTTGTTGCCCAGCTTGACTCTACTGCCTTGACAACTATGGCTTGGTTGCATAACAGACCCACAATATCTACAATGAATTTCCAAAAGTGAGACATCCACAGCCCATAAAATTTGAGTGGGATGGGAAAAATGGAGGGTTGCAACAGGAATATTGTGTGATGAGAGAATAGCATTTAAGCTAAAAGGAAAAGACATAAATATTGAGAAGATTGGGTAGGAACACTAGAAAAATGGGACCAAAACGAGCATATTTCTGAGAATCTAGGAGTTGCCCTTATAGTGGATAAAAGGAGGAAAAGTAGACTAAGATGGTTTGATCACGTGCATACTGCATAGCAGATCATCTAGAAAACCAATAGCACAAACTGACCTCTTTCAAGTTGAAATAAAAGAGCTAGGGATAAACATGGATTTAAATAGTGAAAAATGATTTCAGGACCCATAATTGATATGGTACTGAACAAAATGAAATGACAGTTGAGTTGTAGCCAACCCCATGTAGTTGGGCCTAAGGCATTTTTGAATCAAGTTGAACTCAATTGATATGGTACAGAAAAAAGCCAGAGACAGTAGCTTGGTCTTATAGGGGGGCTTTGAGAAGATTGAAATGGTTAACCACAAATATAATAGTCAATGTTCAGTAGGAAAGAAGATTGGAAAATGGGTTGCCAGATTTTCAATCCAAACAAGAGGCACATAGGAATTAGCTATTTTGGGCCCAATTGTAATATTTTTTGGGTGTTTGAGGCTGCACTTCATGCCTCCTTGTGGAGAGTACTCTCAGTGTATTTTTTGATTACTCATTAATAAATCTCTATTACTCACCAAAAAAAAAAGTTGAATTGAGTTCAGACATCCATGGCCTAATTATTATACCCTGAACTGTAGGCAAATTGGCTGCCACCTAGAAAGGCCTGTTCAAGTAAACATCAGCCCATGTGTTAGCCAATTCACTGGCTCTAGATGGGATTGGAAGATCTTAGCATTATTCATAAGAAAGAAAGAAACACCACTAACAGCCATGAAGCACTGTCAGAAAAAAAGAAACATTACTACAATCAATTCTCTGGGAGGAAATGATTAAACTAACCATTCCTTGACACTGATTGAGAATGTTGTTCTCCTTTAGCTTCCAATTTCCTGATAGCGTTACTCATTGATTTCATTTCCGCTACTTGGACATCCAGCACACTCATAAAGGTCTCAAAGTATTTCTTCTCTGACATGGATAAAAATGGAACATAAGATTTGAATATAAATAAACCATAATGAAAAAAGGATAAAAGGGGATGTGAGGAAAAAAAAAACTATCAGGGAATAAATAAACCACCTTCATTTTTGGAATTTAACATCTCCTGACTTGCCCTGGCCACATCAGCAGCTGCAGCTGCAGCTGCTTTTGCAGCCGCTGCTGCTTCTTCAGCCAAACTTGGTTTTGAAAGATTTCTTTTCACTGACTCATCTTCTTCTTCCAGTACAACCTTCCGGATCCAAGATTTTAACCTAGGAACCACAGCATTCTGTACAAAGGGTTTTCATCAAATAGGGAAGGCAGAAACCATTTGGCAAGAGTAGAACACCACAGTATATATAATGATAGTGGTGCCAGCGAAAAAAAGAAAAAGAAAATGGCTCAGGCTTTGGCTCATGAAAATACTTAGTAGTTATTTAATTGCTAAAAGTTTTACATAGTTTTTAATTTTCCATTAGTATTCATGCAAAAAGTGAATTGAAATGGAACCCTACTGCAAATACTATTCATGAATTGTTAAAATCCCCTAGGATCTATTACTATATACCATTACTATTCACTATATACCATATACTAAAATAAATTGATCCATATCACATGGCCTCTCCTTTTTTCATTTCCCCTTCTCTGTTTTCTCCTTTTTTTATTGGTTTTTTGAATATTTCTCCAAAGCCCCACCCATTCATGATTGTAATGCATAGGGAAACTGACCGGAAAAGACAAGCACCTACTACAATCACTACCATTATTATTTGAGTCAGTTTGACTTTTGCAACCTATGATCATCAACATAGTAATGTAAAGAAACAAAAGGGTTGCAATAAACTCCGCAATGAGAGCCCTATAGAAGGACCACTTGGTGAATTCATCAGGGTTGATCAATGGTGCCAGAGGGAGGTCATGGTAGTCCTTGGCCAAGAGTGGGCTGTGTTTGGAAGTGTCAACGTCCTTTGCCATGCCGCACAAATCACAACAGTTCACAAGAGCTGGAAGGAAAACAGAGGATAAGAGGAAGGCCCAGGCTGTGTTTGATGTGAGTGCAAGGAGAGTGAGAGGGGTTTTTATTGTGGGAAATTGAGAAAAAAGAATTTAAGTTCATTAACTTTTAATGTTGTTGCCCCTACTCCCACTAATTACGATTTTAAATTTCTTTCATGGGGCCCCTTCTCCCTACCACCCTGTTTCTTCTTCTCTCATGCTTTTTTGTTTGTTCGCTTCTCACCTTTTTAGCCACACATATAGATTACAGAAAGTGATTCTGAAAATCCCTTTTTTTATTTTTTTATTTCACAAAGTGAATATAGGACAAATGACTAATGTGGCCTATTGAACAAGTTCATTCATGTTGCCAGTTTCCAGCGACTTGACAAAACTCAATGAACATATTTTCACTCCTTAGATGGCCTTTATAGGTTGTGTAGTATGGCCTTGGAACATACTGCAACTCCAACCCATTTTGAAATATACAGGTGTAGAAGAAGACATAAAACTCTTACATGACCCATTCTAAACAAAGGATGAGGGTCAACCCGGACCATCAAAGAAATATGCATTAATTTAAATCACGCTAAAGGTAGGTCATGGCACTACTAATCACTTTACCAAAAAATAAATGTTAGTGATCAAATTAAACCAATTATGGTTATAGATTAATTAAAAAATAATATAATTAATTAATTAATTATTAAAGTTAAGCATATTTATTAATTTAGTTAGTTAATTCTAATAACCCCATAGTATAAATATTTGACAAAATATACGCCATTGGCAGAGCCTAGCATTGCATGGACACAAACTTGGGAATCAAAGTCTGAAACATTTCTAGGAGTAACAAGGACTTTGACACATTTATAGAAATTTATTAACTATTAAAAATAGTCCATTTTTCCAATTGTAACATTATATCCCTATAAAAAGGGTTTAGAACTCCATTTTGTTATTTAATAATGGTTTCTAGAAAAATTGGCATTCTTTGTGTATATTAGCTATCAATTTATGTCAAACAACCAAGTAGATAAAGGAAAATGTTATGCTGGAGTGTCCACCAACAATTCATGGAAGTGTGAGAACACAATGATTGTCTAACGCAAACACTTCATCACTTGGGGGAGTCCATGCAATATTGATGGAACCATACCTGGCCCTAAGTTGGTCAATGGTTCCCTAAAAATTGACCTACACCATTAGACAATGCGACTGCTGTTAAATATTTAGATACCTTAAAAACAATAGCAGATCCAGCTCCTGAAACAGCAAGAAACCCTATGGCAAGAAGAGCATGGGACCAATGAAACTTGGTACGTGGCAAAGTTGCCAAAGCAGAAGCAGCACCTGAAGGAACAGCCGCAGGTTGTGGAGCTTGTCCCTGGATTTGTGTCTGCAAGTTTGTAGATGGCTTCAACTGGCTATCTGTTATCAATAATACAAGAATAAATGGTATTGCAGTGACCCACAATTTTTACTAATGCCAAATGAAATCTAAGCTCATGATTCTGAAACCATTTTCCCTTTTCAATGGAAAGATGGTATTGACCCCATAGATCTAATTTTGACTTCAAATTCTAAGATTCGTTACCTTGACTCGTGGCAGTTGCTTGCACATTGGTAACAGTTGGAGGTGGGTCCTGTAGTTATGCAAAATGTCAAAAAAGATGCATACCCATGGAGGAAGAGCATTATAAGATATTTATATGAGGGGTTTAAAGGATAACTTGCTTACAGGTACACGACGGAAGGCTTCATCTATCTCCTCCTTTGTGAGGCCTTTCTTCTCTAGAAAAGATCGCCTATAAATAACTGGGGATCCCCTTACTTTAGGATGTGATAAAAACTTAACAGCATTCTGCACCTGCTCCTCTCGCATTGGTTCCGAGTTAACAAACACAGATTTTGTAGGAATTTCTTTGGTAGAATCTCCCTCAGCAACTTGCCCATTCACGTCCATTGCTTTTACAGAATCTGAAAATGTAAGAATATTACCTATCCAAAAAAAATATAAATTTCCACAATAGAAAACTTTAAATGGTTAATTTACATAAATAGACTAAGGGCAAAATTTGCAAATGTGTGTCATTCTGCATTTTCAATTTCAGGTTTTTTTTTTTTGAGAAAGTTGAGTAAGAAATTTTATTGCTGATGAAAGTTATATTACAACAGCAGCCAGGATTACTGAAACCAAGATGGCTACTACATTACACGTCCCAAATGGAGTGAGATTCCAAAAACTGAAAAACATTCTGAATTTTAAATTCTGAGGTAACAGACAACCAGGGAGCCAGCCTATTAACCACCAACCTCAGAAGGTCTTCAGGGGATCTAGATCTGTTACAGAAGACACGACTATTCCTCTCAGACCAGATAGTGACCATAACAGCTGCAGGAACTGTTTGCCATACCATCTTCCCTTTTTTGCTCAATCCAGGAAGCTTCCAGCAACACAACAAAGCTTTAACAGATCGAGGCATAACCCAGCTTATACCTACTGAATTGATAAAATGTTCCCATAATCTGGCTGAGAGGAGACAGTGAATGCATAAATGGTCACTAGTCTCAGGCACCAGCCCACAAATGCCACAATTCAGATCAGGGATCTGAACCCCACGCTTGCACAAATTGGATCTAGATAGACATTTATCGAGAACCAGAACCCAAACCAGAAAGCTTGCCTTAGAGAGACTAGTAAAAACCCCGCTTACTCGGGAATCCCATATTAACTCCTTGACTCGGCTTCTCAGTCATAGATTTGACTGAGAAAACCCCATCCTTACTCCATTTCCACTTCCATTCATCCTCCGCTTCAACAGAGACCTGTTGATTCTGTAAAAGCTTCAGAAGTTCCAACAGCTGCTCCAGTTCCCAATCGTGCAGATTCCTTCTAAATAGGTGACACCATACCACACTCCCCCCTTCCTGATCAAGAGATTCAGAGACTGATACATCAGGAGCAGAGGCACATAGATATAGGTTAGGAAAAACCTCAGCCAAAGGTGAGTTAAGGCACCAGGGGTCCTTCCAGAATTTCAGCCTCTTACCATCCCCAAGCTTAAGATCCAAACCTTCAGAAACAGAAGGGAATTTTTCATAATTCCTTTCCACAAGGAACAGCCCCATGATGGAACGGAAATGGGTCCAAAGTACTCCAGTTGCCCCAATCCACACATATTTAGCAGCAATCAGAGACCTCCACCAAGTTTCCCTTTCAGAACCAAATCTCCAAACCCACTTACTTAAGAGAGCAGAGTTAAAAGATTTGAGATTTCTCATGCTCAACCCACCATCTTTGACATACAGACCTGATCTCAATTAACTAACTGGATTTTCTTCTCATCCTCCCACCCCCTCCACAAGAAGTTCCTTTGGAGGGATTCTAATTTTTTTTATATCTTAGAAGAGATGGGAAAGAGAGAAAGAAAATATGTTGGGAGATTGGAGAGGGTACTTTTGATTAGGGTTATTCTGCCTCCCACAGAGAGATATTTTGCCTTCCAAAAAGCCAACTTCTTCTCCATTCTCTCAATCACAGGATCCCAAATTGACAAGGAGGTGCATTTCACCCCCAAAGGAAGACCCAAAAATTTCCCTGGAAGATGATTAACCTGACAAGCTAAAATCTCAGCTAGCTCCTCCAAGTTCTCCACATGACCAATGGGAAAAATTACACTCTTTCCAAGGTTAATCTTAAGCCCAGTCACAACCTCGAACCAGCAAAGAATACCTAACATAGAATCCAGTTGTTCAGCCGAAGCATCAACAAAACATAAGGAATCATCTGCAAATTGGAGAAGCTGAACCTTCTCTCTTCCCGGAGAAATCTCAAAGTCATCCCATAAGCCCCCTTCCGCAGAACTCTTACTAAACTGAGTAAGGACCTCCATAAGACAGATGATAAGCAAAGGGGAAAGAGGATCCCCTTGCCTAATCCCCCTAGAACTCTCAAAAAATTCCACTTGCCCATTAATCAAGACTAAAAATTTAGGAGATGACACACACACTCTCATTCAATTCCTCCATTTATGGCCAAAGTTCATTTTTCTAGGGTGAAATCCAAACATTTCCAGCTCACATAGTCATAAGCTTTCTTGATGTCCAGCTTACACACCAAACCAGCTTACCCAGCCTCTTTCTGGAATCAATGAACTCATTAGCTATCAAAACACTATCCAACATCTGTCTCCCAGGAACAAATGCACCTTGGTTCACAGAAATCGCAGAAGACAATACCTTTTTCATCCTTTCAACCAACACTTTTGCTAGGATTTTATAGAAACTGTTGAGAAGGCTAATAGGTCTGAAATCTTTAATGTTAACAGCCCCGGCCACTTTAGGGATTAGAGTAATAAAAGTGGAGTTTAAGCTTCTCTGAATTGATGCACTATTGTGAAAGGACTGGAAAGCCTCCATGATATCCTGCTTAATGAAGTCCCAGCATTTCACATAAAACAAATTTGTCCACCCATCTGGCCCCAGAGATATTTCATTTTCCAACTGATTGATCACTTCCTTCACTTCCTCATCAGTAAACGGAATCTCAAGAGAAGCTTTCTGCTCTTCAGTGAGTCTTCTAAAGGGAGGGTGGAGAGGGAGGGGTCTGTTGGCCCAAGGTTCTTCAAGGAGCTGTTTGTAAAAGGAAGAGGTAATAGTTTTGATTTCAGAATCTGATTCACCCACCACACCCTCCCATTCCAACTTACTGATCTCTTTTACTCTACACCGGGCATTAGCCATTTTATGAAAGAAGCTAGTATTTTTATCCCCAACTCTCAGCCAAGTTGTTTTAGCTCTTTGTCTCCATTTTATTTCATCTCTCACCGCAAACTTGTCAAAGGTTGATTTAGCCTGACATCTTTTAATCTTCTGATCTTGTGTTAAGGGATTAACTTCTTCCATCCTATCAATCTCTTCAATGATATTCAAACACACCCTTTTTTTCCTTCTCCTTAGCTAGGTTATTTTCTGTTCTCCAGATTTTTGCTCTCTCTTTCACTTTCTTTAACTTCTTTGCTAAAATAAAAGAACTGGTACCCTCAGCTTGACACTCCCCCCACACCTTAGCCAGCATAGGGACAAAACCCTCTTCCTCAGACCACATATTCTCACACTTGAAAGGTGTGTTGTACCTACCTTGATGGCCACAGCTGATCTGAATGGGACAATGATCCGAAACAGGTCTGGGTAGAGCCAATTGTTTGAAGGAAGGGAAAACTTCATCCCAATCCAAGGTCACCAAGAATCTGTCCAGTCTTACCAAAGTTGGGGCATCTTGGTTATTTGTCCAGGTAAATTGGCCCGTTGAAGAGGAAGATCCATCAACTCAAACCTATTAATGAATTCTGCAAAGAGATCCATTGCTCTGGATCTTCTCCCACCAGAGTTCTTCTCTTCAGCTGATAAGATCACATTGAAATCTCCTCCAATCACCCAAGGATGAAGGGACAACCCTCTGATCCTGGCCAGTTCATCCCAGAACTCAGATCTTTGACTATAGTCAGTTGGGCCGTATACATTTGTGACTTGGCAGAACCTACCACCTGTCAGCTCCAAGATCACCGTTATTGAAAAAGATCCAACAGATTGAGCAATTAAGGAACACTTAAATGGATCCCACAGAAATCAACCCCCCACACTCCCCACTGAAGGTTCAGCAAGCCATTTAACCTAACCAGAACCCCAAATACTCCAAATAATGGATGCATCTAGAAAAGCAAGCTTAGATTCCCGAATAAGGATCACCTAAGATTTAGATTTTTTGAGGATTTCACACACCACCAACCTCCTACGCCCCGACCCCAGCCCCTTAACATTCCAAGACAGAAAATTCAACTCCATCAAAGACCGAGAGAAAAGAGAAAGAATAAGCTCGGCACTCCCTTCTTAGAGCTTCTTCCCTCCTCTCAAACCCCCGTAACAGTTCCCCATTCTATCATTTAGACCCCATGTTAATCTTAACACCTCCCTATTCTTCTTCGCAGTATTCACCCCCCCCCCCTTTTTTGCGGTTAGCTTCCCCCTCTCCATCAACACCCTCTTTTCCACCATCTCCAAGTATTTCATAGTTTCATCCTCCACACCCTCCATTGATACCCCCAAAAAGTCTCCTAACTCCAGCAATTTAGAATTTACCCACGCCGATGGAGAGCAATGAACTGTTACCTTACCTGTTTGCTTTTGAAGGCCCAACTGAACTTGTACTAGTGAGCGCCTAGGCACACAAGTGAGGCGCATTTTAGGGTAGGTGCCTTGCCCAAGTCCTAGGCACAGCACATTCAAAAGGCGCACGCCTATGTGCCTTGCGCCTTGGCTCAGGCGTGCGCCTTTTGAAAACTGCACGCTTTTTTTACTTTTTTTGAACCTAGCGGCTGGGCCAGGGGCTCCGCCCTCGGACCCTCGACCACGCCCCTTGAGGCAAGCTCAAACAAGTCCATGTTCGGGTCTTAAATTCTTATTTCTCACACAAAAAAAAAATAATGATTTTATAATTTTAATTGCCTTTAAATAAGATGTTTTATTAAGATAAATGAATGGACAACATTAGCAAAAAATAATGATTTTATAATTTTAATTGCCTTAATTCACTCGCTCACCAAAGCTCCGAGAACCCCCTATTTGCTAATGTTGTCCATTCACTCATCTTAGTAAAACATCTTCTTAAAAGGCAATTAAAATTATAAAATCATTATTTTTTGTGTGAGAATTAAGAATTTAAGACCCAAACATGGACTTGTTTGGGCTTGCCTCGAGGGGCGTGGCACAAGGGCAACTCATAGAATCAGAAATGTAATATGTTTTACATCACATTAGCTACTTGAAGTAATGCAATTGAGGAAAAAAGAGATTGTAGGCTTTACATTCTTGAAAATGTTTAATATGTTTGATTTTATTTTTTAATTTTCATTTGAATATGCTTTACATATTATGTTTATGTATTTTAATTTTAGATAATAGGTTTT